CTGAAAGTTCATCCCTCCATACCACAGAACTCGTGTGTGCAGGGGACAACCTAGGCCTGTGGGAACGACAGCCCAAAGGACACCCGCTGCTGTAACCGACGGGGTCACCCAGGGGAGAATGGATAAGAACTCATACACAAGAGCAAGAACAGGCCTGATGCTCTAGAGGAACAATGAAACAAACACCCAAAAATGGGGGCTATACCCCAACCCAGGCCTGAGCATAGACTGACCCTATCACAGGAAGCTCTTGCTGCATAAGGTCTTGGTGACAGGTGATGTCCAAATCCCTGTGATCACAGGTCCTCGTAAGACAAGTTTCCACAGAAGAGGCAAGGACACGGAGCAGAGAGATGACCCAGCTGAGGGGTGAGCACGTCACACCCATGATGCACTGAGCACCAACTGCCCACAGGTCCTGTCCCTGCTTGGCTCCTCACAGCCTTCTGCCCCACCTGCAACACACTCAGCAGAGCAAACACGCTGATTCTGGAAGATTCTCAGTGCTTCCATTTATTTGCTGTGTCAACTTTACAAATCTCCCTTTTTATTACCTCATCAGCCCCACATGCCAAAAATTAGGAAACACAAATTCATATCTGGATTCTCATTCAATAGGGAAGTAATTCATTAGTACTTAGCCCAACATGAAATAAAGATGGTCCAACCCTGCCTCTGCTGGAACAGGAAAGCACATCAGTGAAGACAACACAGGTCAGTATGGGAAGAGGTCATGGTGGGCAGGTGGTCATGGTGGGCCAGTCTCCCCACGTCCTCATATTATGCTCATAGGAACACAAATACATTCTGACACCTTTTGCAGAAAGAGAAGTCAGGGGTTGTTGATGTCACCAAGTGGGAGTGTGAACAAATCTTGCATTGCTCAGTCCCATGAGGCAACTGGTCTGACATTGTGAAAAAAAAAATCATGTACAAATTGAGGTCAGTCACATAAGTGCTGACATTCTCAACTGCTCTCCAGATGTTCAAAGTGTCCCTAATGCCCCAACCCCTGACCAGTTCAGGGTCTCTGGGGTCTCACCTTTAGGAGCTGTGAGAGACACATCAGGGCCCTGGGCACTGTCATCACCTAGGGGGGAACAAACAGGATGTGGTCAGAGCCCACAGGAGAGGAGATTAAAGGAGGAGCTATGGGTGGGTGAGCTCCCCGTCGGGTTCTGTTTACACTATCTCAGGGTCTCAGGGATCACTCCCTCCAAACTTACCTGCAGCATGAGAGTAACCTGGTCCTTTTCCTCCTGTGGGACAAAAATATCATGTCAGAGGCCGGGACAGAGCTGGGCCATGAGATCCTAGAGGAAGCTCGCAGTCCTGGTCTGAAATGAAGTTTGCAGAATTGTGACTGAAGACTCAGGACAGGATCAGGAAACATGATGAACGAGGTATGGGGTCACTGGACCACCTGACTTGCTGGAGGTCTGTCCTTAGCAGGGACCTTCCTCTCTGTCCTGTGACAGCTGGGAATCAGGTCCCCATCACCAGAATTATCAAGATGAAAATCTGTCCTTCATTTTCACAAGTGTTTGCTACAGAGTGAATGTTATTAATCAGCTCCAGAGTGGGCAAGTCCATGCATGAGGATGGTACTTCCCATTAACAAGACAGGACAATCTCTTACCTAGGAAACCCCCCAGAGGGACAAGAAAACTCAGATCTCCCCACTCCATTCCCTACCTCAGCGCCTCTTTCTCCAGATCACAGCTCCAGTCATGGCCACAGTGACCGCAAGGAGAACCACACCAGCAACGATCCAGATGATGGGGATGGTGGGCTGAGGAGGCGGCTCTGGAAAGGGAAGGGAGGGTGAGGGGCTCAGAGCTCTGGCAAGAGTCCTGACCCTGCTGAAATTCTCCAGAAGGCCTTCTGCTTTCCCTGAGAAGAGGCTCCACCCCAAACCCCTCCTTACATGGCACGTGTATCCTGTCCAGGAGGCACCACCACAGCCTCCCACTTCTGGAAGGTCCCATCCCCTGCAGGCCTGGTCTCCACAAGCTCTGTGTCCTGGGTCAGGTCCTCCCCATTGTGGTGCCAGGTCAGGGTGATCTCTGCAGGGTAGAAGCCCAGGGCCCAGCACCTCAGGGTGACATCATGTTCAGAGATGGGGTGGCGGTCACTTGTGTGTTGGGGGGTTCTGAGGAAGAATCAGAAAATACACACTTTGCTTTACCCTTATGGGCCACTGAAACAGCACTTACGTGACCATCCTGAGGTGGACTGGGCCATTGGTTTAAATGGAGGGAGTACAATACCAAGTCACCAATCTAGCCTTTGGGATCTCCTAATCCTTGGAAATTCTAGTATCAGGGAGAGTGCCCAGGTTAGTAGAGTGTAGGTCTAAGAAAGGGAACACACTAGTGGTGTGAATGCAGTGGATAGTCAATCCTCAGAAATCCAGGAGTCAGATCTCCAAAGACGTTCTCAAATGGAAAGGCCTTGAGAGGGAAAGTCATGGTTCCCGAGGTGGCTGCCACGGTCAAAGGGAATTTCCACCTGCCTCCCGGGAGAGACTGGGTTCCCCCACTGCCCCTTAGCGAGAAGCGGCCCTCTGGGTGAGGCCCTCTCTAGTAGGAACAGGAACACCCGGGCGGATCTCCGTCTCCCCACCCGTGGGAGGGGCGGTGTTCTGACACGGAGTCCATTTTCCCTTCCTGGTGGGAAGCCAGCCCCAGCGGAGGGGAGATCCGGGAGGCCCCGCGGCCCCTGGTACCTGCGCGCTGCAGCGTCTCC